TGATGGCTGTGTCACTGTGTCCCCAGGGCTGGCACACTGTCGCCACCTCTCCACGGTGCGCACACACCTCTCGGCGCTGGTGAACCACAGCATCGTGCCCCCCGACAGACCCGCCAGTGCCGCCGCCGGCCTCACCAAGGAGGTCTGGAGCAAGTACCAGAAGGACAAAAAGGTCAGTAGCACATCCCCTGCATGGGATCCACGTGCTGCTGGCCAGGGAATCACAGAATGGGCCACAAGAAATACTGAACTCCACAAAGTCACTTCTTAATAGTGAGAGCGATGCAGTTCTTACAGTCTCTTTTCTTCTTTCCTTCTCTGATGATGGCAAAGATAGAAATCAGTATCAAAGCAACTGATCTWTTCAAAATCAGGTTATTTTCATGGAAGGCATGATAGCCTCTATTAGACTGGATTTAAGCTAAGGCCCTAAAGGCTTGTAATCAAGCTGCAGAATTTATTTAGTGCCCTGCATATATTTCACTGTCTCTGTACTCAGTGTGAAGTGTCTCTGAGTGTACCTGAGTTAAATCCAKATGTATTGCCTTCAACACCTCTCTCTCCTGGCTGCTGTAGAACTACAAGGAACTGGAATTACTGAGAAGAGTTTACTATGGCGGGGTCCAGCATGAGATTCGGAAGGAAGTGTGGCCATTCTTGTTAGGCCACTACAAATTTGGCATGGCCAAGAAGGAGATGGACCAGGTAAGCCCAGCTTCCCTGGAATCTGAGTTACATTTGCAGAGTAGGTTTTGTTTTCTGAATAGCAACTGTTGGTCTTTATTACTGTTAATATTTGCAAGGGAAAAACACTGCTGAAAACATGAGTAACGTGTGCTAGCAGAGGGGTTTTGCTATCATGTTATTACATCTGAACAATGGGAAGAATGGAAATTCTTTCTTTCTTGAAGTCAGGGAAGCTGCATTCAGTTCTGCCTGTGGCATGCACTCGCCCTGAGCACATCCTGTGTTCACAAATTTGTCACTTATAAAATGGGGAGACATTGACATTTGGATGGGAATTTTACTCATCCTTCTTTCATATGGTGTGTTAGCTGAATTATACTTCAGACTGCTTCTTGAAATAACTACCTTTTCTCCATGATACTGCATCTCTATGTGTGSACTTCTGCTGGAGCTGGGAACAGTCCAGATGGACCCTCTGGAGTCACTGTCCAGAGACCAAAAATASCCAGAAGAAGGTTTGGTTTGTAAGTTCATTATGCTTTTGTTAGATTTAAGTAAGATGTGCCCTGTAAAACATAAGGTATGACTTCAGATGAGACACTCTTTTTAATATGTCCCATGGTGCTGGAAATGCTGATGGTGAATAACTGCCCAGGTTATGTCACAGCCTCATTCAGCCACATGAAACTGCCATTAAGGGTATTGTTTCCATTAATGAAATAGCAATTTGCCCATCTCTCAGTTATACCATCTTCCTTTGCTAAACTGTTTATAGGACCAGCCCATTTTTCCTTTGCCCAGTGCTGTCATTGGTTGCACTTACTCCCAGACTGAGAGGAAGGGATGTTCTCCTCTGCAGAGCCACAGGACTGCCCTGTGGGGAAGGTCTGGATTGTGTGGTGGTAAAACATTGCTTTTCTGTGAATCACCCAAATGTTAGCTGAACTGGATAGAACAGTAATGGGGTTTGACCTAGAATATAATTAACACATTAATCTGCTTTCCAGTTAGTGTTATTACCAGGGAGGTAGCATTCTTGCAGCAGCTGATTCTGTCTGGATTAAATTGATAAGGAGTGGTTTATATATCAAAACGCTTGGCATTTGCTAACTCCCAATTACTTTTTATGCCAAGGGATAATTTATATTTCTGTGAGCACCTGCAGAGCAGAAGGGCRGCCTGACCTCGAGCCTTGCCATGGACAAAGCAGTGCCTTGCCAACAGGGAGCACTTTATAAGCAGCTCTCTTCTWACTAAACATTGCTATGGCAATTTGAGTTGTTTTCCTCCCAATAATCTTTATAAGCCATTTCTGAACACAGATGGAGAAATAGAGCCCTTCTCTGTTCAAACTGGGTCACAGTCCAGATTCTCTCCCCTGAATCCAGTCATCTTAGTAGATGTTTATTGTAGATCTTCTGGCTGTAGTATGTACATCAGGAACATCCTACTGAGCACTACTCTGTTCTTGTATTTTTTAATCTCAGCTTTTCAAGAAAGGAAGGATAATGGATGTTTCTTGCATAGATTGTATTTTGCTGTCTTCGATCTCCACCAGATTTAAGATCCTTGTGTAGAAATAGAAGGTATGCCTGGAACTGATCAAAAGGTCCCAGATGCTTTGTTTTTAGAGTGGGAGACGTGAAGCTCTGTCTCGTGGATGCCAGCCCCAGCTCCAAAGGGCACATGCATGTGTACAGCTAGAATATAGGAGATTTGGCAAGAAAAGATTAATACAGGAATCTGTATGATAGAAATTATGGTTCATACAGAGATGTTACAAGATAGAAGAGATCTGATCCGCAGAACACAGGCTCCTACAGAAGATTTTTCTCCCTGAGTTTGTACCCTGCTAACCCAGGGGTGCTCCAAACATATCTGGAATTGTAATGGGCTACTCAACACCAGTAATAAACAGGAGTAATAACTGGCTCCTSAAAGGAATGGGCTGTTGCAGACTGAAGCTTACACTGAATGCAAGAATCTGTTAAATGAGKGACATGAAAACTGTCATAACACCTGCACATAGTGGAAATGCATTGTGTCCTTAACTGAAGTCACTGCAGGTGATTTATCATCCTTGCCTTCTGATGGTATTTTTGTACTCCCAGATGTTGCTGTCCTCCAGCCTTCCACTAACTGTGATATTTTATGATTTATGACTCCACAGCTACCTCAAGTGACAAATAGCCTGCAGCTCTTAGCGTGAACACTCRGGTAGCAGCTCAGCCAGCAGAGTCTGGAGCCTGCAGCCAGCTCACAATTGTGCTTTCTCTTYAGCTCTTGACAAGTGACAGAGTAGTAAAATTGCTACATGTCCCTTAATAGCTTCAGGAGGGTTTCTGTGGCTGTCTTTCAACAGAGAAAGCCACCGGTGGCAAAGATGTGTTTGACTCTGTGGCCCAGAGCGGGTGGATCAGCCATGC